ATTACTCTGTTAATAATGGCTCATTAAATTGTTTGATATACATGCACCTACATTTCTTTTGATATTTTAAACGACTTGTTATAAGTCTATAAGTGTACTTGAGTTGAATTTATAATGTATTGTCTCAAATCGTAACTAGTTTATGTAATTCTTTCCCCCATAAATTGTGTGTGCCGAATTACTATTATAAAAACAAATGAATTGATATTTATTTCTGCGTTAATCGTTTGAGATTTTGTTGAAAGAAATGTTGTTCCTTATGAATGGAAGATGATCAAAGAGTTGAATATTTCAGTATAAGATTTTGATTAGTCTATAACTCATTGGTCCTACTTTATTAATACTCCGCATATTGTTCTTTCTTCTCCTAGATCAAATTTCTTTTCTTACACTTATATGCTAAGTTGGAGATTTGGAGAACACAATATATCAGGAGATAAGAGACCTATTTAAGGTGGAAAGTATGTTAGTTATGTACATGTGAAGAGGTATGTGGAATACAATATAATTAAACAGTTGATAAGCATTTTAAGCTTAACTTTTTTTTCTCTGCAGATTAGAGATGTCTATTGAGATGTGAAGGACCATCCTATCATTGTCTTATTTTTTACTAACTGTTTTATAGATTATGAGTTAGAAGGTTGAATTGAGACACAAGTCGGGTCCATAAAAACTAGTTAGGCAGGTAATCCACCTACTTTAGATTGATGATCCAAAATTCATTGTTCTTGTAGATAATAAAATTATGTTGAAAAAGATGTATGGATAAATGCTGATATGTTCCCTCCAAATGCAAACTTGAAAATCTCAACCAATTTAGATAGTTTTGGAATGGCAGGTATGCAGACTCGTTATACGTTTGTTGAAACAATCACCTGCTAACATCAATACACTCCATTTCAAGTAAATCTTGATTCTCTAGGCTCCATCTTGCTGCTAGACTAGACTATGCTGCTGGTAAGCTCCCACCCATGATTGAAGGCTTTCAAAAGCTTTCTCACCTTGGAAGGGTATCATTTAAGCATTGTCCCAGGGACTCAGGGAGGCGGACAAGTGCAAAATTTTCATTTTTTAGCCAAGTTCAGTTCTGATAGTAGCTCTTTAGTGTTTATTTTAATATTGCTAGTTTACCCTCAAATGCTAGAAGTGTTTTAAATTTAGAAATTCAAAGTACCCCACATGTATTAGGTTAGAGCTACTGCTTAATTATTTAGGGGTAAGGTATATGTCCCCCCCCCCCCCCCCCCCCTATATTTTTGTATCATGCTCTTATTTTGAATAAAAACATAATACATCCTTGAATGCTTTTGAATGCTTTTGTACAACTTAAGTTGCTTGGTTTGTAATGTAATAGATTTGATGTTTGATCCAACGTTTGTTTCACTTTTGTATGTAATTATAATTAAATCGGCTACTAGTTACATTCATGGCTATAGGTGTGTAAATACATCTTGGTTGCATGCGTGCAAATACATAAACCGTTACATTACATAATTAATCAAGACCAACGTATTTTACAAACGGTTACCCTTGTGCATGTTTAAACCGTCACATTTGTACACAATCTGTTGTAACATTTATGACATTGTTGTGAGAACCATTACAGTTGGTCATAAATTTCGTTACAAGTCGTTACATTAGAGCAAATGCAATGCGAGCGAATGTAACGATGAGAAACTATTACAATAAGTCGAATGTAACAGTTTTTTGGACCAAAGGTCACGAATTCTGCTGTTACAAAAGACCCGAAAATGTAGTAGTGAATCTTCGCTCATGATATAAATTATGACAACATATGATATTCCCTCCATAACTTTTAACTTGGACGCATTTATTAAAAAGCATGTTTGAAAATGAAAACGGGTGATTGAAATTTGGGTTGAAAAAAACAAAGAAATGATATCCCCATTTTCCCTAAAGTAGATATAAAAATGGAGTAAAATACAAAGCAAACCCTCACAATTTAGATATATAAGAGCATCTCCAATGGTACAATGTGCACGGTGCACATGTGCTATGAAAGAGATAGACACAAATGATTAAATTTTTGACGTTTCTCTCTCCTTCTTTCCACGGTTGTATATGTTTTTGGTAAGCTTTTTCTCCACAATGTCAAAAACAATGTCTAGTTGTAGACATTGTGGTTGATATTGTTAAGAAAAACTTACCAAAAACATATAAGACCGTGGAAAGAAGGAGAAAGATATTCTATTTGTTATTTTTTAATTGACTATTTCTCATTCCACGTATGTACAATTCACATTTTTGCATTGGAGATGCTCTAAAGTCTCTAGCACCTTGTGATTCGATGACATTATTGTGACATTCTCAATGAGAATGTCACAAGTTCAAAACTGTGTTTAGTATACAAACTTTTGAATCTAATTAATGCTAAAAGTTAAAAGTTTTCGAAAAAATCAATTTTTACACTTAAGTGACCATAAAATTATATTATACTCCCTTCGTCCCGCTAAGATTGTCTCATTTTACCTTTTCGGGAAGTCCGACTAAGATGGTCTCATACCAATTTTGGTAAAGATTGTGTGGTTCTAAATCATTTTTACTTTATTCCTACTTTATCAATTTAATATCAACCACACAAACTCACTTTTCTTAATAATCGTGTCACCTTCTCTTGTCCCAATCTTAGTGGGACGGAGGTAGTACTACATAGTAACTATAGATTATTAGCCATATTTTAGTAACATGTTTCATTATAGTAATATTTAGAAAATACTTGTAATATTTAACTGATAATTAAATATTTACTAAAAAAAAGTGGTAAATAATAATCAATCACATTAGTTATCTGGGATGCTAGTAATTAATTGTTAGTAATAACACTTTAATGATCATTGTATTGTTTGTACAAGAAAAATCACTATTATTGTTACGTACTATTATTATTTTTGTTGTTGTTGTTGTCGTCGTAGTTATCTTATATAATAATCAACATCTTCATTAATCTAAAAGACGGTTTCATACGGGAATCGAAAATTATATATTCAGTGTAAATGATTTGATAAAAAAAATAAACTATGTATGAAAAATATTTAGTTTTTTATGAGGCTTATGAAAGTGAATATTGTTGAATTTAAAATATAAATCACACGAACAAAAAAATGTAAGGTAGAGCCCGAAGAAGAGTTGCATAGTTTTTAAAGAAGAGGAGAGTAAAATCGTGATTGAATTTTAGTATTTAGATAAAAAAAAACAAATATCAAATGAAAAAACCATAGAAATCAACGAAAAAGCCGGTCAAAAGATTTGAGAAAAAAATTCTTTATATCATAAAATACGTCATATTGAATAACATACTACATCCGTCCCAAAAAACTTTGTAGAAATTGTCCAATATAGGAGTAAACATAAACATAATTGCATAAATAGAAGTAAAATTTAAAACTTTCTTCAATAGGAGTAAACATTAATTTTGTACCCTTAATATCCCTAACCTAGTTAATTCTAAAATATGACTTATTTAATCCTAACCTAGTTAATTTATGACTTATTCGATAATAATAATTTATTTATTTATTTTTCAAAAAATAAAAAAATATACTACCTCCGTCCCTTAAAATTTTGCCAAAGTTGACTGGCACGTAGAATAATAAAGTAAAAACTGTGTGGTTGAGGTTTGTGCAGATGAGAGAGAAATAACAGAAACCACAAAATAATTGATTAAAAGGGAAAGTGACAAAGTTTTTTGGGACGTCCCAAAAAGGAAAGAAGGCAAAGTTTTAAGGGACGGATGGAGTATTTTTTTTTAAAAATAAAAAATTCAAAAAAATAAAATAAAATTCACCGCCGCCTTTGCCGCTTATGCACCACCACCTCCAGTCACCAGGGAAAAAAAATGCCAAGTTCATTACGAATGTCATATTTATGACAGAAAACAATGAAAATGTTGGCATTCGCAAAGAGAAATATGCCATATTTTTGGCATTTTCAGAAAAAATGGTAGTTTTTAGGAAAAATGGAATTTTTTTCACCGCCAGGAGGTGGTGGTGCAGGGAGGTAGTACAAGCGGTGGGAAGGACATCCATATTTTTTAATTTTTTTTATGGAGTTTTACTATTTTTTATTAATTTTTTTAAAAATAAAAAATTTTAAAAAATATTTTTTAATTTTTTATTTTATTAATAATTTATAATTTTTTTAATTATTTTTCTACGATTTTTAATTTTTTTTTGAATTTATTATGAATTAAACATTTAATTAAAAGTTGTTGGGACTTGGGGCTTGGGTAAGGATATACTTGTCCAAATACTAAAGTTACTCCTATTCAAAACATGATACTCCTATTTTTGCATTTTGCCTATGTTTTGATCCTGTTTGGGGAATTCTCTCAAAACTTTGTCATTTCATAAAAGTTGGATCGTGATTTTTATTAGTATAATACTATGAATTTTATAAATTTTAAACTTTTACGAATGTACTCTTAACAAGGAACATTTTCATATGACTTTTATATTATGGTGATAACTCGGGTACCCATTTAAAAAATGAAATACCTTACTTATCATTCACTTGATTGGTCTAAATCATTATGTCATTTTTAATTTAGATTTAAATAATTCAACTGCAATATTCTGATTGGTCAATGTGAATAAATGTATGGTACTTTATGAGTACCATATATTATAACCAATTTTCAATGAAAATATATGATTAGTTGATGTGAAATAATGAAATATGTGAAATACGAGTACATGAGATGACAGGAAAATAATGAAATACATACGGAGTAGAAAACGCTGGCCTGGAGAAGATGGCTAGATTCTCTCCCCTCTCTCCAGACGGTGATCTGGAATGGAATTAAATAACGCTGGCAAATGAACAAAAAGAGAGAAAATCCAACAAAGAAAATGCAAATAAAAAAGCCTTTCTTTTATTTGAAAAAACAAAAAAACAGTTTTGATATTAGGTGCATCTAGAATCTAGCCCAGTGAGAGATAGAGTTTCTTATACTTTCTTACAAGAGCGAGTGAGGTCCTCATCTACTACAGTTCCAAGAATATCCGAAAATAATAATTCATTCATCATCAGAAAATAAAAAATAAGTACCCATTCCCAGTTTTCTTTAGCGCTCTCCAATTCCCCTTTTCTCTGCAACACCCCCAGATCCATGGTGGATTACTTGATTCTTGGCTGACTTGCATACCCGGCCCCAATTTATTTCATTTATGCTTTCAGGTAAGCCCATTATTTGGCCGCTTCCGTTTGTTTTATGCTTACCTATGTGAATATGTATATGTATGCGCGCTATGCTTACCTATGTGAAATGCAAATGGAGGATATCCCGTTTGGGTTTGAAGCTCAAAACGAGGGCTGTGGAAAGGGTTTGATCTTTTATTACTTCTGCATTTTGATTTGATCTTGAAATTTTGGTTTTGGGCTGCAAGGATGAAGCAGTTGGTTTCTTGCTTCTTTGCAATGTCTTACTAATCCCAAGATTTCATCCATTCATTATATGTTATAAGAAATTTAGTATCTTGTAGAACTGTTTCTAGTGTATATATAAACCAGTGGAGAGTGGAGACCCATGGTTTTAATTTCCACAAATAGTTTTTCTGATTCTTTGTAGTGGTTGTACATACGGAGTTTAATTTTGAGCTCCTGGATTTTGAATTTTCACTCCTAGTGCTTTTATTGATTAATTAATAAACACTTGATGGCCTGTTTGCATCTATTTTTTAGGACTGATATTTGTTTTTCAGCTATTTCTATGTTTAGATGGTCAGAATAAATTTAAGATAAAGAACTATATGCAAAAACATTATATAACTAATCGTATAGTTATATTTAGTCTAAAACAAAAAAAATATAAAAAAACCAGTAGACTATAAATCATCCTTCCCCTTCTGCCCTTCGTTTCCCTCCAAAATCCTCCAACAATAAGTTTCACAACTGTAAAGTGAGTAGTAAAAAGATACTGTTAGAGAATCTAATGCCTTTAGATTTCAATTGTTTCATTTCAAGGAATGGCGAGGGGAGAATACATATTAGGCATATGGGTGATATGGTCATATGCCCATATGAAATATACTTCTACTAACCTGTCTGTTAGGTCTCAATCCATAAAACGGGTCGGGTTGTAAACCATATAACCTTTTGTGTAAAACCTATCACGTTTAGCGCAAACCATATCCAATTTAGTGTATTATATCGTTCTTCACTTTTACTGTAAACTCTGTCACTTTTACATCCATGATCATTTATTAGGTATTGGTTGTGTACAAATATGATTTTCTATGGGGACATTTTCTATGATTTTTCTTCTTCTAATCAGGATTGTAGCCTAGTGGTTGCAACTTGTTTGGCATGATGGATTCATACAATGACACACCTCTGACTGAGAATGTTGTGGTGTGTGAAAATGGACTTCACCAACAACTTCTAACTTCAGGCAAAGAAGTGATTACTGTTGATAAGTCTGAAGGGGTGCAAGAGATTTTTCAAAGTGGTGTCATTTTGAAGGATGATGAAGCTGTTGAAACTTCTACTGAAGGGGTTGGAGACAAATCAAAAGTACCTTTATGTAGCAATGGCAGTCCTAGTTCTAAGGTAGGGTGGGGGTCGGGGTCAGAAAAAGTCGGGTTATGTAACTAAGTTTTTTAAAGGCTTTTTTGGAACTTGAAAATGGTAGGGAAAAGGAAAAAATGTCATGGAAAATTCATTTTCTTTGTTTTTAGTGTTCTGCTCTACCTTGTAAAATTCAAACATGAATTCGAATGCGTTTTTTTTTTAAATTGTACAATATATATTGATTTCTTAATTTGTATATACTAAAAATATATAGATAAAATGAGTCTGAACAAGTATCTTAAAATGGTTATGATCCTTTGTATTTTTCTCCAAAGTTTCCCTCCCACAATTGGTTTCCCTGGCATTTTCTGGGTTCCAAACTGAACCTTAAGACTCCATAACATGTGAAAGCTATTTACCTCTAGGAATCCAAAGCTAAGATTCATACAGAGCACAAGAGTGACACACCACAGAAAGCTTCCGGAAAGCTAAAAAACGGGATGCCGTCAAGCACTGCACATACTGTGGTTTCTGGGCCAAAGAAAGGCAAAGACGGAAAACCCAGTGGGACCATGACCTCCAAATCACTGGATAAACAACCTACTGCACTTGTTGCAAAGAGTAAATCGGTAAATGATGGGAAAGCTACTCAGAGAAATCCAAAGGTGGTTCCTTCTTCTGTGAAGGCTAATCATTCTAAGGTAAATCCAATATCATTTTTTCAGCATCTTTGGGTAGGATTTTTCTTTTACTTTGTTTCTTTTGTTTGCAAGTAACTATCTGGAATCTGTTTGTTTGATCAAATTTCTTATGGTTAGCAGCCGACAGATAAAACATCTTCCCCGAGTAGTGGACAGCCTGAAGGCCTTACGTATGTTCTATGTGCTCTGTATACTTCTTGGATATTTCTACATATTCTGACTTAGAGCCTGTTTCGGATTCTATGTATTTGCTCTGTTTTCTTCTTGGTAATAGCGCTTTTGTCATAAGGGCTTTCTCATTGAAACAATTTAAAGTGCTTCTTTTGAATGAGCAAATACATCAAAATGTTGCTTTCTTATTCTTAAAAGGGTTTTATAGTGCCTTTTACTTTTAAGAGCATTTTTCCCATTATTTGTCCAAGCAGTTCTTTTTGAGAAAGTACTTTTACTTCTCTAAAAAGCACTTATTTGTACTATGTGTGCTATTGGTTTTGCATTATTCTGTAATGCAATAATGTCTTCTCCTAGCAGTTTATGAATGATAGTAGTATCTTGACTTTTCAGGGAAAAACCTAAAGTGAAGCCTCTCAAGAAAGACCCTCCAAATAAAGCTGAATCAATGGCTCAATCCTCTGTGTATCCTACCTGATTTAATATTGTTCTTACTAGTACGGTTAGAGTGCTTTGGATCTCATAAAACGCTAGGGAAAGAAAAGACAGTGTTAAGCATATGAACATAATGATACTTCCATTGGATGGCTCCTATTTTGACATATGAACATAATTATGTCATGTTCTTATTTAGTTGCAACATTTTTACTTTTTCCACGTTGGATGGTTCCTATTTTGATACAAAATAATGATACTTCTAATTGGGCACATGACCCATGTCAAACTCCTACTTGCAGTAATTTCTTGTAAATAAAATGAGTTTGAGCATTAATTTCTTATGAATGAAATGAATTTTAACAAATATCCATGATATATTTTCTTTATCTAGCATTTTCTGGGTTCCAAACAGACCATTATGTGAACAACATTTTTAGTACCCCTAAACCTTGTTCTGGTTCATCCTTAAGCAAATTTTCAGAAGTCCTACATCTGAAGATGCCAAGTCGAACAGAGTTAGTGCACTTCCAAGCTATGGTTTCAGTTTCAAGTGTAATGAAAGGGCTGAAAAAAGGAAAGAAGTAAGTGTTTTCTTCTTTCATGCAATGCATTATGATAGTTAACCGTAAGCTCTCTATGAGTTCCTTAATTTTAGCTTGAGCTAAATTCTGTCTCTTCTTTCTCAACAGTTCTACTCTAAGCTAGAGGAAAAGATCCATGCGAAGGAAATGGAACAGAATAATTTGCAAGCAAAGACTAAGGTATTGCATGTGTGTGTAGTGTATTGGGCTATGCTGTTAGTGCATTTTTTAAAGGCAATAGAGAAGAAAGATAGAGAATAGAGAGTTAAGAAAGAGTCAAAACTGGTTGTTACTTGTTAGGTTAGGGAAGAAATAGGTAAGAAAGAAGAAAAAAGGTGAGACCCACTAAAATATAGATTCCTCCCATATAGTTATGGCTTCTATTTCAAAAAAGTATTATTTACTTAATGAGGATACTTTTGTCATGGATGATCAATATAATACTACATAGTTTTTCTTTTTTCCAATTCCTCTTTTTTCTTTCCTATCTCTGACCACCAAACAACACTAAAATTACTAATATTCTGCTCTATTTCTTATATTTTTCTCTCTACTTAATTTCTTATCCTATTGCTCTCATCTTTTTCACTTTTCAATTTCACTCTTATAAACCAAAGAAGACATGAATAAATAAGTAATGGTTCATTGTTGATTGTCTGCAAAATGCATGGATTTACATAGTTTACAGTTTGCTTCATTGCTTGAGTCCTTTTGCTTGTATTTAATACATTTTTATCTCATTTTAAAATTAAGATACAACATAGAATGTTTTCATGATATTCCTTTTTCTTATTGAAACAGGAATCACAAGAAGCTGAGATCAAAATGTTTAGAAAGTCATTAACATTTAAAGCAACTCCAATGCCAACCTTCTATCAGGAACCTCCACCTCCCAAGGTGGAGCTGAAAAAGGTAATTATTTTTCCCATTCTATATGCGAAAAAATATGTGTTTCACTTGCTTGAAAAAATATGACAGTGTGCGATAAGTTGAGATGATTGTAATAGTTACACACTTACACCTCGTTATAAAATTAATGTAGTGAAATACTGAAATGTGCACCGGGTTACCCTTTATTGTGAAATACTGAAATTAGTATGTTGTATGGATATGATGAAACATGAACGAACACTCCATAATTCTTAAAATGATCACCACTAACTAACTATCATAGTATTATTTTTCGGACATGCTTCATTAGTTAAAGTTCAAATTAAAATTAAAATTTTAGTTTAAGCTTTTAGTACATGAGTTTTGTGACGTGACCATTACATTCATTCCATTGATTACAAATCTCCATGAAAAATGAAACCACATTACGACATTTTTAAAAAGTAAAGTGAATTTAAAATTTTAAATTAGAAATCCAGAACCAAGTCCACAACACCAAACAAAGGTCAATAGTCCATGTTCATAAATTATGATAACAAATATGACAATCTTTAATTGATTAATAATGCCTTATTTGTGCTATCTCACTCTAATCCAGATTCCTACAACAAGAGCGAAATCTCCCAAGCTTGGACGGAAAAAGGACTCTCCTTATAGAGAAGAGAACGATGGAAATGGCAATGAAATTCGGCCTAGTAGGTTGAGCTTAGATGAAAAAGTGTTCTCCGGGGATAACCATGCAAAGGAGCATTCTCTTGTTACTCCCAAAAGGACTTATCGTAAGTCTCTTCCTAAGTTGCCATCTCATAATACCAATTTATTATCCCGTCAAACGAAGAAATCTTCGCATTCTAAATCCAAGGAGACTGCCAAAACTGAAAGTGATGTTCCGAAGGTGGAGGCAGCCATTGTTGAGCCTAAGGTGAATGATGAGTCTTGTTTCAACGGTGAAGGAGACATTGCTATGGTGGGGGAATCTATTGATGTGGACCATTGAAAGCAAGGAATGGGGGGCATGTTTGGAAATCACTCTTGGGTTAGATATATTGCATAGTACAAATAAGACTCTGATTCATTTAAAAAAGAATGGGGGTTTGGTTGTCTCTAATGAGCATTTTTCTTACAAATTGTGGCACTTGAAACTATGTGCAGATTGCAAACTTTAAGGTCACTCGTTTTTTGACAATTTGTGGGTCTTAGTTTTTATGGGCTTAGATGTATTCTTTATTGTTTTTGTTGTTACATAAGTGTTATTATTATTATTAATATTATTATTGTTATTCAAATTACTATTTGATGCATTGTGGAGCTTGGGGTTAGTGAGAAGCACATTGGCACTGTAATAATTTGAATCCCTTTCTATAAGTTGGAGATGTAACAAGCCAAGATGTTTAAGCTAGGGATGGACTCGGGTCCGGGCCGGGTCCGGGTCGGGCCTAGGCCTGGGCGGGCCGGCGGTTCAAGAATAGTGGACCCGGGACCGGCCCGGGTAGCCACCGGGTCCGGTCCAGGGCCGGGCCGGGCCGGGCCTCCGGTTTGGAATTATTTTTTTCTTTCCTAACCCCCCCCCCCTCAGTCCCTCACCCTCCACCCTCCCAAACCCCCCCAAACCCATCCTACCCATCAAGCCCAACCTGGGTGGAACCCCAAAAATGAAAAAAAATAAAAAAAATCAATTTGGCCCGGGCTCGACCCGGCCGGGCCGGTTCACCAAAATTGAGACCCGAGCCCCCGGACCCGCCCTACCCCCCGGGCCTAGGCCCGACCCGGACCCGAGAACCGGGCTGATCCCGGTCCAACACCGTAGCGGGCCGGTCCCGGTCCCGCACCGTAGCGGGCCGGGCCGGGCCGGTCCACGGGTCGGGTGGCCCGACCCGAGTCCAACCATAGTTTAAGCTAATAAGAAAATGACAGCGCCCATTGCTCCTTGTAACTGTTGCCCATGAAATAGTTTCAAGATCCCACGTTTTTATAAGTTTCGGGTAGAGGTGGACCGGGCCCGGATCGTGCCGGGCCCTGGGTCGGGATTGGGGTGGGACTGGGTATTGGGATGAAGGCCTGGTACCGGCCTGGGTTGGAACCGGGCCGGCGGGCCCGGGTCGGCCGGTCCGCCCCCCCTTCGGCCCTTCTCCCTGTCCCGTAGCCCACCCCTACCTCCGGTTCAGGCCCCATGGGTTGGCACCGGTCTTGGTCGGCGGTCCGCTTCGGTACTAAGGATGTTTTTACTTGGACTATAATTTGTTGGTCTGTTCTGTTTTATCTGGTCTGATCTGGTCTGGTCTGGCCTGAAATTTTATTTTTATATTTTTTTGCATAAATATTTTATTTTATATATATATTATAATCCATAAATAATTATAATTACAAATAATAATAACAATAACAACAACAATAATAATAATAATTAGGGGTGTGCACTATCCGGTTTAAACCACAAAACCGGACCGAACCGGACTGATAAAACTGGAACCGGATCGAACCGGAATGATATCCAGCCCGGTTCGGTCCGGTCCAGTCCGGTTTTGAACCGGTGCAAACCCCTAATAATAATAATGATGATGATGATGATGATGATGATGATGATGATGATGATGATGATGATGATGATGATGATAATAATAATAATAATAATATTAATAATAATAATTAGGGGTGTACACTAGCCGGTTTAAACCGGAAAACCGGATCGGACCGAACCGGAAAAACCGGAATTGGATCAAACCGGAATGATATCTGGTCCGGTTCGGTACGGTCCGGTCTGGTTTTGAACCGTCACCCATAATAATAATAATAATAATAATAATAATAATAATAATAATAATAATAATAATAATAATCAGGGGTGTGCACTATCCGGTTTAAACCGGAAAACCGGACCGGAAAAACCGGAACCGGATCAAACCGGAATGATATCCGTTCCGGTTCGGTACGGTACGGTCCGGTTTTGAACCGGTGCACACCCCTAATAATAATAGTAATAGTAATAGTAATAGTAATAGTAATAGTAATAGTAATAGTAATAGTAATAGTAATAGTAATAGTAATAGTAATAGTAATAGTAATAGTAATAGTAATAGTAATAGTAATAGTAATAGTAATAGTAATAGTAATAGTAATAGTAATAGTAATAGTAATAGTAATAGTAATAGTAATAGTAATAGCAACAGCAACAGCAACAGCAACAACAACAGCAAAAGCAACAGCAACAGCAACAGCAACAGCAACAGCAACAGCAACAACAGCAACACCAACAGCAACAGCAACAGCAACATCAACAACAACAACAGTAATAGTAATAATAATAATAATAACAACAATAATAATAACAACAACAATAATAATAAAATCTGGTCTGGTTTGGTCTGGTCTTTTTTAGTCTGGTCTGGTCTAGGACGAATTACAGTCCAAGTAAAAACAACCTAAACAGTATCGAGGAGGGCCAGGCCACGGGCCGGTCGAATCGAGCCCGATCCATTTCTAGTTTCGGGTGCTCATGGAACCTATTAGTAGGTATGGTCCGGGACCAGGCCAAGATTGGGCGGGACTGGGGATTTGGGTTGAAGACCCGGTACCGGCCCTGGTTTTAACCAGTACTAGGCCGGGTCAATTTTTTATATATATAAAAAAGTAGTCTATTCTAATTTGTTCCTACCCCCACCCCCAAACCCCACCAAAACACCCAACCCACCTAGCAGCGACCCAATGGAATATCCGTAGCTTGTAAAAGTATTCGCATATCTCTTAATGAAAGACCAATTAAATATTGGGTTGATCTTCCTAGTGATACAACAAATAATCCTCCAACACCCCCTAAAAGAGTGCTTTTGAATGAAGACGAGTATACTGAACCTGAAAAGGTTAGAGCTAAAGCTGATCTCCTTGCTACTACATATCTACGGCAATCGATGTTAATGAACTTTTCATGCAAATTGACATTCTCACGACTGCCAAAGATATGTGGGATGAGATTCATCAAATTATGCAAGGAACTGATGTTGGCATAAAGACTAAGCGAGTTCACACTCTCACTGCTTATGACTCATTTACTGCTAGAGCTGATGGATGAAGAACTGGAGGATACCTACCAGCGTTACCCGACAGACCTGAACGAGACGAGGAAGATCAACATCTGTAAGATCAACATGGAAGTCAATATGCGCTTTCTACGATCTCCTAGGCCAAAATGGAAGAAGACTGCTAAAAGAATCAGACAAAGTAAGGATAATGATGGCTTACCATTCACAATGTCTATGACTGTCTTGGAGGATTTTCTGAGGGTGTTCTTGAAAAGGTAAAACTTCTGAAGAGAACAACATTGCCGATTCTCTTGCTCCTCTATCTACTGAAACAAAGAAAAGAGAAAAAGCTCCTAAAATTACTATTAAAGTTGACTCGTCTGATGAAGAAAAGAACTAGTATGGTTCTGATCTTGAGATCAATGAGCTAAAGAAAGAATTGGTTTTGCTGACAAATCTTACAAAGAAGATGAACGAGAAGTTCACGAGGTTCAGATCCCCATCATCATCCAACAAGCAGAGAACTTCTTCATTCAATTACTCAGACAAAGCCAGTGAACCTTTTGATAAAGCTGTCAGTGGAGATCATATGAAGTGTTTCAATTGCGGCAAGCATGTTCACTTTTCCCAGGAGTACAGATCCGCAAAGAAGAAATACTTCAACTATTACATGCAGAAGACACAACTTGCTAAGCAGAAGGAGCAAGGTGTTGTTTTAATTGCTGAACATGACCACTGGTTAGAAGATTCTGAAGACAACGAGCCAGAGAATATGGCGTTGATGCCTCAACTTGCTGATGCTAAAGCGGAAGTGATTGCTCTAAGGAAGATACTAGTTCTCCATCTACTGAGAATGAGGTAAGTAATCTAAACTATTTAAACCAAGCAATGCACTAGAATTAATGAGCAAATTTCCTCTTTGAAACAAGAGAGAAATAAAATAAAGGAACTTGAAGACAGATTTACTAATAATCAAAGATGTATGGAAAAACTTTTAGAACAGAAAGGACTTCTTAGTATGCGCTTGAAAAATTCAAAAGATGAAGTCACCAGCTTAGAATCTGAAGTGGCTAAACTTAAGAAAATTGTCTGTGGATTAACTAAGGATCTAGATGTCATGAAGGATGTTTGGCGGGGTAATACGAATGTTTCACTAGAAGTTTCAATCAATTAGTCAACATTTCTAATGACATAAGATTATTATGGGATATCAGTTACCCCGCCAAACATCCTTCATGACATCTAGATCCAAATATTATACATACCCTATATAAATGTCATGAAGGATGTTTGGCGGGGTAATAAGAATGTTTCACTAGAAGTTTCAATCGATTAGTCAACATTTCTAATGACATAAGATTACTATGAAATATCAATTACAAGTTGATTTTTGTTTTTAACCGTGTGATAGTATAACCATTTTTTAATTTTTTTATTATCCACATGTGAGAAACAAAAATATTGAACAACTTTTGAATGTCTATAACAAACTAAAAAGCAAGAAAAATATATATGTATGATAGAGTATAATTTTTAGAGAGAAGTGAGAGCTACAGAGAGAGAGAGTGCAATTAATATTACTCAACCTTTGCAACTACCCCCAATGGGGGTATTTATAGGGAAATTATGGACTGAGCTCCCAATTGGGCTTGGGAGGCCCCATTTATAATGTAAGGCCTCTACTGGACTGGATACAATACTTTGACTTAGTATAGAATATGTCTCCGCAAGGTCTCTTTGGCCGACGGAAGACCTGGCCGATGAGGTGCCAAGCCGACGGGTGGCCTGGACGACGGGTGGCCTGGGCCCGGGCGGGCTTTTTTTTTGGGAAAGGGTGAACCGGAACCGGCCCGGGTATAAACCGGGTCCGGTTCTATGTTTTTTTTGCTTTCTAATTAACCCCCGACCCCCTTCACCCCCACCCGCAAAGCCCCGCAAAACACCCAGCAATAACCATGAAAAACAAAAAAATGAAAAAAAAAAAAGCCCCGGCCGGTTCAAGAAAAACGTGGCCCGAGCCCGGCCCGCCAAACCCGTCCCAACCGGGTAAAAGCCCGGGCCCAGTTAGCACCAACCGGGCCGGTCCGGGCCCACAGAGTCGCGGGTCAGGCCGGTTCCGGGCTGGGCCGAACCGGTTGGGTCCATCCCTAGACCTGGCCGACGGAGGACCAAGTTCTTCTCCAAGGCTCCTGGACTGTGTTTTGAGTTGTCTGATGTTTGGATGATGGTGTGTCATTTGGCTGACGGGGGGCATGTGGATGCCAATTGTGTTTTTCTTAATCTTCTGAGTGTGTGGATCATGGGATCTGGACCCATATACT